CGGCTCCAGCCCGGGCCCATCCGGCCACTCCACGCCCCCCTCGCCGTTGTTCTTGCTGTCCAGGAGGGAGCCGGCAGCCTCCCGGGTGTCCTCGGGCCGGGGGGGCTGGGCGTGAAGGAAGAAGAGCTGGCCGGGGGGTGGATCCTCGCAGGCGGAGCACAGCCCGTCCGGGGTGGGGGTCCCCACCGTCAGACACACCGTCTCCTCCTTCATGTTCTTGGTGCTGTCCTTGCCGAAGAAGACGCACTGATCCACCACGCCCGTCACCACCACGTCCACGTGGAAGCCGGCCACGCAGTCCCGGGGCGTTGCCGCTGGCCCCCCCAGCTTCTCCCCGGCCCTGCCTTCAGGGACAGCGTCCAGCTTGCCCGGCAAGGCCTGGCTCTCGCCGCAGTTCATCTCCAAATCGGGCGGCTCGCTGGCCCCGTCGCCCTTGGGCGCGGCACTGGACAGCAGGAAGTCCACATTGTTGGGCAGGGAGTCGCAGGAGGGGCTGATCAACTGGTAGAGGTCGCAGGTGATCTTGTCCTTGGCATGGGCGCCGGAGCCGGTGGCAGAGCCCCCAGTGCCGCAGCTCATGAACATGCAGTTGGGGCGGGCGCCGGAGCTCACCTCGGGGGGCGAGCGGGGGTCCCGGCTGCTGGAGATGCGGAAGGCGATGCGCACCTCGCCGGGGCTATGCTGGGAGTTGGCCACACACTCGGCCGCCTCGACGCTCCGCTCCTCCTGCTGCGACTCGAAATGGGCCACCGCCTCGGCCACCCGGCTGCAGTCCTGGCCCCCACCTCCGCCCGCCACTTTCTTCTCCCCGTCCGCCTGCTCCTGATCCGCGGAGAGGAACACCACGGGGGAGGCCGGGGCCGCGGGCGCCCCCCCGGGGCAAGGCCGCGAGTAGCTCTGCAGAGCCAGCGCCGTCCGCTGCTCCACCAGGGCCACCATCTCGGCCACGGAGAGCAGGTCCGTGTCGCCGCCCGGCTCGGCGTGGGCCTCCGGGCACAGGTACACGTCCTCCGCCTCCTTGCTGCCGTCCTTGTCCTTCCCCGGGCACGGCTTGCCCTTGCTGGGGTCATGCGAGCGCCGCCGGCGCTTGGCCTTCGAGCTGTCGCTCCCCCATTTGCCCTTGACCTTCATGGTGCTGGCGCGGCTGCCGCTGCTGCACTGGTGGGCCACGAAGAAGGCAATTTTCTCCTTGGTGTTGCCTGGCTTGATGACGTACCAGGTGTCCAGCAGCACCCGGCCCTCCTCCCCCTGGCTGGGGCTGGGGGAGACCAGGGGAGGCGGCGGGGCCGGGGCGGGCGGGGTGTTCTCGGAGCAGGCCTCCCCGCTGTCCTCCCCCTCCTTGGTTCTGCAGGCGAAGTCCCCAAAGGGCTTCTTCACCGGGCTGCCGCCGCACGGCTTGTTCTGGGAGTAGGTGCCGAAGGGCCGCGGGCACCACAGCTGGATGTGCGAGAAGGTGTTCTGATCCATCCCGGGCTCATGGCACAGGCGGTGCCCCCCTAGCTCATGGCGCTCTGGTGCCGGACGCCGAGATCTTCACCGGCTCGGAGCCACCTGGGGAAAGGGAGAGACAGACACTGATCAGCGAGGCTGGCTGGAAACGAATCGCTCTGCCAGCTTGGGAACCAGCCCGGGGGTTCGCCCACCCCGGACTCAGGGACGTAGGAGTACGAGCCTCCACTGGGGATGTCTCCTTTCGAGAGGCGGCTATGATGGAACAAGCATGCTAGGGGAAGCGGGTCGGGGGCTTCCATTCGCCCAATCTCCTGAGACGAGGAGGAGGGGGCAGCCGGCCAAATGGAAAGGCAGTAAGTTCCTAAGGGGTCAGAGGGAATACATGCTCTCACGGTGTGCCGGGAGCCTGCGGAACTCTCTGCCACAGGACACCGTTAAGGCCAAGAGCAAAACAGGATCGGTCGCTACCATGCGGAATAAACAGTGCCCGGAGCTAGAACAGCAAATCCTAGAACCCTAATCGCCTGGAGCTTGGGAAGGGACCTGACCGCCCTCAAGCCTTGAAAAGAAGAGGGCTAGGGAGGGATCTGTGGGGCAGGGAAGCCTGGGTCGCCCCCAACAAGTTTTTTTCACCCTCCTCAGCAGCAGCTTAGGGACGCATCTGCGGGGGGACACATTAATTTTAACCCACATGAACATCAATGTGATCTTCAAAATAAAGAGCCTTCATGAGAAGCTCCAGACTCCTGTGAACAGACACGACCCCTGGCGGACGGGCACAAGCGCACGTAGGTGCAAAGGGGGAACGATCCATGCAGCGGGCACACGGAGGAAGCCCGGGATTCTGGCTGCGGGATCTGCCTACCACGCGGGCATGAGAAAGCTGGCAGAGTCTCTCTGCAACAGCGGGGGCCAGAGCTCAGGGGAGCAGGTGGGAAAACCTGCAGCTGGCTCTGTGCCTCCCAGACACGCTCCCTTCCCCAGCCTGTGTGATTGCTGCCTCTCCCAGGGAGAGAGACCTCGACTCCCGCGGTCCCGGGCCGGCCTGCACAGTCGGTGAGGCAGGACGGAAACCGATCACGCCGCAGCATACCGGGAAACCTCGCTCCCCCCATCCCAGGCCTTCTCCGAGCGCAGCCTGCTGCGGCGCGCAAAAACCAACTCCCCGCCGCCCACCCTGGCCCAGCGCGCCAGCCACGGGGCGTCCCAGGCTCGATCCTGCCTTCTCGGTGTCACGCCTGATTCGTACCGAGGCTCCGGACTGCAGCTCGGTGGGTCAGAGACTGGGGGCCGCCTGGCAGCGCTAAGAGAATGGGCCACATGCACCCCTCTGTCTCAAGCGCTCTCACCTCCCTCCTGCTGACTCCCACCACCGTCCCCTCTCTCTCACAGCCACTCTCGCGCTGTGCCAGGCCTTTGCCACGCTCTGCCGCTGCTCCAGCACGGGGGGCTGCCAAGGCTCCCCATACGCAGCTGGGAGTGGGCGGATCCACTCCCTCATCGTTTGGGTGGGTCAGTCCGTCCCCCAGCAGCCATCGCGCGCTCCCCCGGCAGCACGGTCACTGACCCCTCGTCGCCTGGGCCACCCCCTTCAGGCACAGAGGGCAGGGAATTCACTAACAGAAAGACGGGTCTTCGTGCCCTACCGAGCACCAGGGTAGCAGTTGGCCGGATCCGGACCCCTGGGGAAGCTGGTCCGTACGAACCAGCGCGGCCTGGGAGCACTCAGACAGGTGATGGGCACAAGCACACAATACCACGTCGAGATCACGCCCCCTGGGCCCGTTCCCCAGCTCCGGAGCACCAGCGCTTCGGGCCACGGCACACGATGCCCACCCTTCCTCTGTCTGCGGGGCTGTAATGTACAAAACAGGACTGGGAGCCATCAACCCTCGCAGCCCAAGTTACCGAACCGAAGCTCCCTTGCAATGAGCACTTTGCAGGGATTAACAGCTAGGAAGATGCCCTCCTATCCTACCCCACACATGCTGCCCGCCCCATCTCCCTGCGCTATGGGGCCTTTCACCCTCCACAAGTCCCCATGGCGCCTCTCAGGTCAAGTCCTGGTCTTGGTTCCATGCAGTACACATCACCACTGAAATGCAACCGCCTCTGGGGCGGAACATGGGAGCTGTTTAACAGCACACAGCCACAGGATAGACGTGTGGGACAGGAAGTGAAGTATCCCCTATCAAACTGAAACGGCAGGACAAGCTCCCGGAGGCACAAGTCTGAATTCTGCACAGACGCTGGGGTTAACCCTTCCACTTTGCGCAAAAAGTGCAATGGATTTTTCTTTTCAATGGCCACGGTCTCCGTTTTAGGTATTATCAGAAAGATGGTGTCTCCGGCAGCCCGGACTGCCAGGGGAGAGCCCCCTACTGAGCCCCCGCCCTGCTCCCTGAAGCACAGCGCCCCCTAGCACCACGCTGGGACATTGGGGTCAGCCCTGACTGCCGGGGAGAGCGCCAGCCACCATCCCCTACCCACGGACTAACCAGACTAACTTGTGACCCCCGCTCTGGGGTCAAGAGGCCAGACGGGGCTGAGGCAGGAATTCAGGCCCAATGAGAATGTACCCCAAATCTCATGCCCACAGTCTGCCCCTGGAGAAGCGCCATGGGGCCCAGGTCCAGAGTCTGCCCCCACTGACCCCAAAGCCTGGGGCAGCACCGGGGCTCATGCCCACAGCCTGCACCCCACCTACCAGGAGGCATTCAGGTATGAAGGACGACTGCATCCCTTCCTCTGCAACCTAAAGCCCCCGGGGAGGCGAGACAGAATCACAGGCCGCGCCCTCAAGGGAGGACAGGCTACAGTGCCCCCTCCCTGATGCCACCTCTTCCCATTCGGCCACAACTGAGCGCAGCACAGCCAGGGACCCCTTGCTAGGCATGACAACCGGGCACAGACCCCCCCCCCCCCGCCAGACTGTGGTTAGAAGCTGGCCACCTGCAAGCGACACCAGAGCGCTGGCCCAGCGCCTGCTACGTGCCAGTCTGAGGCTGCCTGTGGCGGGGCCGGGTTCTTCTTGGAGTCAATGCTGCTCCCTACACGTCCAGGGGAGTAAGTCCCTCGCTTCCAGCGAGCACAAGCACAGCCCGGCACCCTCCACAAGGGAAGGGAGACAAGACTTGGGGCAGGGAGACAGTGACTCCATGGCAGAGCTGGTAGAACCCAAGAGTCCTGGCTCCCAGCCCCCACAACTCTAACCACTAGGCCCCACTCCCCTTCCAGAGCCAAGAACGCAGGAGTCCTGGCTCCTAGACCCCACAGCTCTAACCACTAGGCCCCACTCCCCCTCCACAGCCAAGAACCCAGGAGTCCTGACCCCCAAGTCCCTTTTTTCGCCCCAATCCCCCCCCCCCCCCCCCCGTTTCCAAATGCTGTGGAAAGAACGGGGTGTTATCCTCTGACCTGATGGTATCGTCATTTGACAAAATACAATATGAGGGGGAACTAGGAGTTAAGGGCTGGAAGCAGCCAAAGTTGCCCGCTGGGCCTAATCTGTTCATGCGTGGTGGGAGGTCTCCGGGCCATAGATGGGGTGAGGCACTTTCAGGACTTCTAGGGGAGCCCCAGCAGGCAGGTGGGGAGGACAGAGGGGAGACGGTTTGAAGACGGATTCCGCTCCTGGGGCTGCATCGAGTCTCACTTATCCCGGGCATGGTCGCAGAAGCGATTTGCACATCGACCAACTGCCCGCGTCCGAGGCAGCTGTCCGTCCGCTGGGACAAGTTCCTGGGAGACAGACTGGACAAAGAACCCGCTCCCTGGGCCAGCAAGGCTAGAGACGCACAGAAGAATTCATCAGACCAGGAGCCCATCTACCCTGGTATCCCGGCTCCAAGAGTGGCCAGCACCGGCTGCTTCGCAGGGAGGTGCAAGAAACCCCCAGTGGACAATTATGGAATAGCTGCCCCCGGAAAGCTTCCTCCTTCCACCAACCCATCAGTTCATTCTCTGGCACCAGATCTTAGATCCCTCCGAAACTTACACCTATATCCTACCAAATCGATCTGTAGGCGGCGCCGTTATCCACATAAACGCCCCCCAATTCTTGTCTGGAGCCATCCGAACGCTTGGCTTCAACGGGATCATGTGGCAGTGAGTTCCACAAGCTCATCGGGCTCAACCCAAACTCCTGTCATTACACATTCAGTTTCACTATCCTGCCCCTGCTAAGGAGGGGTGGGAGTGGGGAAAGAAACCTGCATTTGACCCTTAGTCTCGCTCCACAGGTTGGGGGCACTGCCGGAGCCGGGGGCCAGAGCTCTACTGAGTAGCCGTCTCTACTCATAAGCTCAGGCGGATCAAGGGGTAGCAGCCAGGAGCCCTCACAGAAGCTTGGGCCAGTCAAAGGAAGGTGACTGCAAAGCAAGGATTTGAGGGCACGGACGGGCTTACAAGAAAGGAAACATAATGCAAAAAAAAAAAATCCGTGTCAACGTGACACTTAAGGTGGCAAATCTGAACACACGGGAGCCAGGAAAGGCACCAGCCCAGGCTCCCTTGACCACTCAGCCGCATGGCGCGTCCGAAGCACTCAGAGACGGCCAGTTAAACTCCTCCCTCTCAGGTGGGTTACACTGCCAGCAAGACAGAGACCCAGCTTGTCACGGGGGGGGGGGGACTCCTGGGTTCCATTCCTGGCTTTGCCTCGGCTCCATGTGAGACTCTTAGCAGGTCCCTGCCCCTCCGTGCCTCAGTTTCTCCACCTGTAAAATGGGGACATCACGCCTTTGGAGAGGTACAGCTCAGCCGTTCTAGGTACTGTTATGCTGAGGGCCCACAGACCATGCCCACCCCAGTAATGGAAGTCCATGGGACTCACTGGCACTGGCCAGAGTGGCATGCAAGCCAGCCTTCCACTGGGGTCTGGAGGGAACATAGCCGGCTGCGCCCTTTGGATCACAGGCAGGGGCTGCCATAACCGATCAGGCACCGAGTCCTGCGCATGGCCACGGCCAGCACCAGACGCTCCCAGGAACCCGAGCAGAGAACGTGCAATAACCAGCGCACGGCGGCAGTCTCTGCCTAACCCGGGGCAGGGCAGGGCTGGCTTTGGCTCTGAAGATGGGGAGTCGGGGGACTAGATACTGCAGCGATCCCTACGTTCAGCTGAACGGCTGATTGCTTGACTCCTCCAGGTGGGACGGGGGCACAAACTGCCCCTCAGGATCCCCG